TTTCAGGGTTTTGAACCAAACACATTAATTGCCCGTCTGTGTTTATGGAGACAGGCGGAGGGGATGCTTGCTCTCTCTCTGTAATAAATATAAAAACTCCTTGGGCTCCGGGGTCTGCGCCAGCGCACAGGGGGAGCCCTCCTGCAGACGCAAGTCATAGGAGAGACTGAACCCCTCAACCCCAAGCAAGTAGGTGAAAAGGAGAGAGAAAGTTACATCGGCCAGATATGCTATAAGCGCCTTAGGCCTAACGTAGGAATGCTTCCCCAGAGACGCAAGGCTGCTGGGAATAGGTAGCGAGGACCAAGGTGCCGTGCAAAGCCAGGGCATGGGTATAAGGGTACATGGTGCCCAGTTCCTTCCTATAGGACACCCAGAGCCCTAGCCAGTTTGGCTCAGAGGATAGAGTGTCAGCCTGCGGATCAAAGGGTCCCGGGTTTGATTCAGGTCAAGGGCACGGACCTCAGATGCAGGCTCCTCCCTGGCCCAGGTCCTGGTTGGGGCTCATGCAGGAGACAACCAATAGATGTGTTTCTCTCTGTCATCCCCTCTCCCTTCCACTCTCTCTAAAAATCAATGGAAAAATACCCTTGGGTGAGGATTAACAACAACAACAGAAAAAGACACCGGGCAGGTGACCACCTGCTTTCCTTTAGCGGCCTGGGCGCCCCTGCACTTGACCTCATGGGACAGTGAGCCATGTGCTCAGAAGCGCCTCCTCTTGCTAAAGATATGTTGGTCCTCTGTCCCCCCGCTTCCCTACGGGGTTTGGGCATTTCAGAAAGACACCGTGTAAATTTAGTACGAACTGGGCGTTCTCGACTGCCCAGTCTCTCATTCAGAGGGTGTCTGGTGGTCCCTTCTGCGGTCACCCTTTGACACGGCGTGCTTTTCCGTGACTCCGCCCATCGTGGTACGGATGACCCGAACTTGACCCCTGCCAAGCTCCCTGATGGACATAGATACCTGGGAAGTGGTTGGGGAGCGTCTCCAAGCAACCAGTGGGAGGCAGTGGCTGAGCCTGCGGGTGCTCAGGTGCCCGGGCTCAGACCGGACTTGGGCCCTTGGGACCCTTCCCAGCTCCCACCAGCTCCATGAAGCGGAAGGCCCAGGATCCTTGGCTGGGAGAGGCAGGAAAAACAGCCCCACCTAAGAAATATGTCCTGGTGCATTCGGTTATAGTGGCATTCTGGAAACTGACCCCTTTTTACCAATGCCCTCACCCCATTCATGGTGTGTCTATTTGCTGCTCTGTTCCATCACCGCCAGATCCATGCCTGGTCTTAGGGAAATGCCCCTTAGATTCCTACATAGTGGCTTCTACAACATGAGTTCTCCTTAAGAAAGACTTAATACTCTGAATGAGCCGGTCCCTATTCTGCGATATTGCTTCCTTAGGAATAAATATAACTGTATTCTACAGTTAGTTTTTCTCAGCTTCCTCGTAGGCTTTCATCTCAGATATTAGGAGGTGGGACTGGAAAGAAGGGAATGAAAGAACAGACAGAAAAAAAGAAAAAAAACAATAACAAAATTTAATAGAGAAACACACAGGCAAATGTAGTTTTTCTGTGTAATTTGCAGTACATTTAGCATGTTCAGAAGCAGATAGGAGAAACAGTTCGAGATAGTTTTTCCTTGGTTTATTCTCATCACAGGTGTATCTGGCTCATTTATAATGCAGCTAGAGGCCTGATGCACGAAATTTGTGCAAAGGGCTCATCCCTTGCAACTGCGGTGGCTTGCCTCTGCCCTCACAGCCCCGACTTCATCCAGAAGGTTGTCCGGAAAGATGTCTGGAAGGTCGTTCGGTTGTTCGGTCTAATTAGCATATTACGCTTTTATTATGATAGTTTGCTATTTAGGGGAAAGATACTTCAAGTGCTTAGGTGAGCTAAAAATGAGCCCCTAAAAGTTTGTGTAAACCTGTACTTATATAATTTTCAGCATCAAAAGTACTTCCCAAATTCAGAACCAAAATATTTACTGCGCTGTCATGTGTGCATAAATGTTCCATTTCTTCTCTGCAAGTTGCAAAATGAAAATATAAATGTCAATTAGTGTCTTTTAAAATGTCTCCTCTGAAACCTAAAGGCACAGCCCTAACTGATTTGGCTCAGAGGGTAGAGCATCGGTCTGCGGACTGAAGGGTCCCAGGTTCAATTACGGTCAAGGGCATGTACCTTGGTTGCAGGCACATCCCTAGTAGGGAGTGTGCAGGAGGCAGCTGATCGATGTTCCTCTCTCATCGATGTTTCTAGCTCTCTCTCCCTCTCCCTTCCTCTCTGTAAAAAATCAATAATAAAAACAAAGAAACCTAAAGCCACAAATTACTGATCTATTGCCTAGATCTTAAGGGTGTTAAGCTGAGTGAAGAAGCCAACTGAGAAGGTACATACGGAATGACTACTTTTAGGTAGCATTCTCCGAATGATGAAATGACAGGGATGGGGTCCGGACGATGAGGGGTTGGGACGTGGCGGGTGTGACTACCTAGGGCAGTGGAGTTCCCTGGTGGGAAGGAGGCTCTTATCCTGACTGCGGTGATGATACGAAGCTAGACGTGTCATGAAATGTCACAGAACCGTGCACACAGACAAACACAAGAACGATCGAGTGCATTCAGAACCCGGTGAAATTCCAGTAAGGCCTGAGCGCTGGTTGATCGTATGTATTGTGTCAATACCGTTTCCTGGTTTTGAGGATGTATTACAGTTACGTAAGGGGTTCCCTTCGGGCGGGACTGGGTGATGGATACATAGGATCACTCTCCTGTTATGGCACCTTCTTGGTGCCATATGGCTGGGAAGACATCTTCCCAGCCAGACTGGATGGGAAATTTCCCGTGAACGCAGGCGCCCAGAGCACTGTGGGAATTCCCAGGGAGTTTACGTGCCAGCGAATTCCTCAACGTAATGTTTCAGAAACCAGCAGAGTCAGCAGGGGGAGGAATGCGTGACTCAACGGTGCGACGCTGCAGTGCCAGCGAATTCCTCAACGTAATGTTTCAGAAGCCAGCAGAGTCAGCAGAGGCAAGAATGCGTGACTCAACGGTGCGACGCTGCCGTGGGGTGAAAGGCATCGTTTGTTTTCACGGACAGTCCATCAGTACACCGAGGTTGTGGGACCTTCTGTGAGCGATGCCAGTGGTCCCCAGAAATTCCTGTCTAGGTGACTCTAATTCTGCAAATGCTGCCCTGTGGCCTGCCATTCTCTCTTGTGTTATTACAGTAGTTCTCAACCTTCCGGCCCTTTAAATACAGTTCCTCATGTTGTGACCCAACCATAAAATTATTTTCGTGGCTACTTCATCACTGTCATGTTGCTACTGTGATGAATCGTCCTGTCAATATCTGATATGCAGGATGGTGTTAGGCGACCCCTGTGAAAGGGTCGTTCGACTGCCAAAGGGGTCGCGACCCACAGGTTGAGAACCGCTGTTCTTGGGAGTCTATAATGATTTCAAAATAACAGTTAGAAACCAATCCCTCTGCTGAAGAAAGGGTTCCAGCTACCTATTAAACGCACCGATGAAGCTTTTAGATACAAACTGGAAAGACTTGATGCGGCCTTGTGCCTAGTTAGTATCCAGGTCTGCGAGGCTTCTAGGGTGTGTTTTAGAGCAGCCACTGTTGCCATGACTTTTGTGGAAGCCGTGGCATCAGGAAATTTTAGAGGGAGCAAGGCTCTTGCAGAGAATGTAGGTCAAACCTCCCAGTTCCACCTCTATATTCTCATTTGTAACCTGAGGGCGTTGTCCTAGATTCTTTGGACTGTCCTGCCTCCGTTCTACATTTTACAGCGCACGACTTTCCGATATGAGCTACAGACACGCTAATGAACGTGGCCTCGATGTGAGAATAGTTCTGTGACAAATGTTTTCATTTATGGAGACTACAGATGCGATGTGACCTCTATTTATTATTGGTTTATTATTTATTATTGGTTTATTGAACACCATCTCACACAGTATCAACGCTTGAGGAGTAAACGCCTGGGCTAATTTTTACCTCTTGGCTAAGGTTAATTTTCCAGCACTGAGGGTCTGGGCAGGTTTCTAATTCCTTGTATAGAACATATGGCTTGCCCGGCTGGTGTGGCTCAGTGGTTGAGCGTCGACCCATGAACCAGGAGGTCACGGTTCGATTCCCAGTCAGGGCACAGGCCCAGGTTGTGGGCTCCATCCCCAGTAGCGGGCGTGCAGGAGGCAGCTGGTCAGTGATTCATCACTGATGTTTCTCTCTCTCTCTCTCTCCCTCTCCCTTCCTTTCTGAAATCGATAAAAATATATTTTATAAAACAACACCCCCCCTCCCGAAAAAACACCCAAAACAACACATATGGCTTTTGTCTATGTGAGTATTCAATGGAAAGGGAAGATTTATTTAGGCCTGTGTCCCTAGTCGGGGGTGGGGCGGGCTATCGGCTGCCCACCAGACCTACTAAATCAATCCAGGGCTTTGAAAAGTAGCCACTACCTTTGGGGATAAAGGCAGATAATGCTCTGTTATCCACCCATAGAGCTTATACGTATTACTCCTCTTAACTGCCTCTCCTACACTGATGTTGGGGAAACCAAGCCCTTTGTGAAAACAGGCTCAGAGCCCTGACCGGTTTGGATCAGTGGATAGAGCGTTGGCCTGCGGACCAAAGGGTCCCAGGTTCGATTCTGGTCAAGGGCACGTACCTCGGTTGCAGCCTCTCCCCAGCCTGGGCCCTGGCCAGGGCTCATCCCCAGTGGGAGGTGTGCAGGAGGCAGCTGATTGATGTTTCTCTCTCATCGATGTTTCTAACTCTCTATCCCTCTCCCTTCCTCTCTGTGAAAAATCAGTAAAATATATTTAAAAAAAAATAAACAGGGTCGGACCCTCTGGACACAAAGGCATCCTCACTGCAGTGCGTGTTGGTTTTATGGTACCGACTTCCCTTACGTCTGTACCAGTGTACGTCACAGTCACACCCAAACAGAACAGAACAAAACCAAACCAGGGACTCCCAGCATCAGTGTGATCATTTTATTAACAAAAGGAACCCATGGGGTTCAAACAAGAGTACAAAATACAATTTTCATTGTGGTTTTTTTTTTTCCTGTGGGTTAAATTGCTACATTTTTAATAATAAAAATAAAAAATCGTTCATTGCCAACTTACCAAAAACACAACCCCCAGCCTATTGAGTTTCTTATTGAAAAAAAAAAAAAAGTTCTACCCACAGAAGATTTTTTTGTGTGTGCCAAAAGTTTCACATTTTCAACTGCAAAATGTTTGCATCAGAAAGAAAATTCTAAGGCCATGGTTTCTTTGGAAACTAAACATGGAGCTATGCAAGCAAATACCACAGCTAGCTAACTTTTTACCTTCATTGCCAAGTATTCTCTGTTCCCATGTAGAATGAACTACATTCATAAACTCTTGATATGGGAAGGAATGCTCTTTCTACCCACTGAAGGGCAGACACACTGATCGGAATGAAAAGGGCGAACCCCACTTCTGAGGTCTTCGGGGCTATGTCAGCTGCGCTTCCGTTTTCTGGGTTTGTGTCATGATTCCTCCAACCAAGCAGAGAAGCAACCCCGGGGGGAGAGGCTAGGAAGTCGTGGCTTTTTGGTCTGGAGCCAAACACTCAGACCTTCCCATCCTCCTCCCTGTTCTACTTCATTCTTCACTGTGTCTGGGTGTCGTGGGGACGGACCAAGTCTGGACGAGGCGCGTGAACTAATTCAGAATTCAACCAGTAGCAGAAGGTGATCTCTTTAAAAGTAAAACCGAAACAGTTTCGACCGTGCTTAAACGCATATCCCTGTTCCACAGTGATCACCAAAATGAGCCGTTGGAAACTGAGGCAGGGACAGCGCGCTGGGACAATTTCAGGCCCACGCACGCGTGTCGGTGTAACCGTCTTGCATGGCGGGTTTTAAACAGTGGCTCCCACGGAAAGACATGCGCGTGAGGCTTCCGTGACCACGGAGAATAGAGTGGTGAAAAAAAAAACATACAAGTATCTAATGTCCGTAGAAAAATCCCTGATCAGGTGGCCGACTCATTTTTTAATTCAGAATTTAACCGGAGAGAGATTTTTTTCTATTCCTCACTGAACACACTGATTGAAAGGTAAACGGTTCTGTTGAATGAAGCACCGGGGTTTCTAGGATTTGGGGGAGACCCAAGGCCTCGGCTGGTCCCAAATCTCCGTCGCAGGAACCCCACCTCCCGTCCCCTCCTGTCCAGACTCGCTCCCAGTCCACAGAACCGACAGACGGGAGGACAGAGCACGGGACCCTGAGACCAGGACTGCCAGGGCCCAGGGCAAGAGGAAAAACACTCTTCAGAATGTGAGCAGCAGCACTAGCCTGCTGGTCTCCCTGTCCTGAGGTTAAATGCTCATCAGATATTGCACCAAAGCAATAAGCGAGATCACAGTTTCAACAGCATCACTGAAGAATTGGACTGACGCGGTACAAGGCGGTGCCGGTCATCAGGAGCCACGAAGTCTTCCCGCCAGGAATGAAAGCCATGCCTTTTAAAAAAAACGGCATGTCTACCCTGTTTGACTTTGCGTTTATTTTGAAATGCCCTTTGGTATATACGTTTATCCGGGAACTTCCCTCCAATGCTGACTGTATGGGTTTTCCCCTGGAGCGGTTTCAGAGGCGGTGATGAGTGCGGTAAGACCCCACTGCCACGTGTAGACCCTCCAAAAACTTGTCAGACCGAGGTTTCAGACCAATCCGATCGCCCCTAGAGGTAGGTTAGGAAAAGACCTTCTTTTCCTCTCTTTCTGGAGTAGTTATCAAGGCCTTCTAAGGATGCAACATCCCCCCCTCCCCTTCTCTTTCTCACATGCTCCTATAAACAAGACGTGAGGGAAACCAAACACGTATCCTGTCCAGGTGCTTATAGAGGGAAAAACCCCAGCCTTCCGCAGACGGGTTTCGGGTTGAAGTTCATTTTTCCCCTTGGAACTGACAGGCCTCGGGAGGGACGCTTGCTGCCTTGCATCCTACTCCACTGCCCACTTACGAACCCCGTCTCGAACCAGCCCCGGGGGACAGTGGACGCCCAATCACCTCCCAGGACCGTGACCTCAGGAAAGGTCTTTCCTGGACTTGAGTCCTAGGGGGTCGGGGAGGAATCAGGCAACCCCTGGCCCCCGGGGCCGGCACATCCCTGCGCTGCCAACTTCTCCCAAATCAAGTGCCCTCCCAGTGCGCCCACATCGCCCGGAAGCTTAGCATCCCTTCGCTCCGCTCTGAGCTCCCTCGGGAGGCAGGCTGCCCCGTCACACACCTTCCAGGCCCCTTCGCCAACTGGGTCCCCAGCCGGACTCCCGTGACACGCTGCTGCGGCTTCCCAAGGTCGCCCACTCTTCCACGGGGGCGCTCGGCCCTGCCATCAGCTCGGGCAACAGTCCCGTCGGGCCCTGGAAAGTTCACGTAGTTTTTAATTCCTTGGTGTGGACCTATTTATGTTCTTAAGCGAATCGTCCCTCCCTCAGTCCCGGAAAGGCAGCGGAGAGCGAGCCAGCGCTCTGTGGTGGGGGTCACAGTGACTTCTGAGGCGTGTTCAGAGGATGAAGGAGACAGGCTGGGCCTCCCCGATGCGACTGGGATGCGGGTCGACCTGCAAGAGAGAGAGCAGCCCGGTTACCACCTGACAGCGACTCCGGGACCTGTTTGTAAGGACACGAAGGGGGCGACCACGAAGTCCCGGGAGGCGCTTTGATGCTCCGTGTCCTCGGCCACGTCCCCCGCGCTAACGGAGCACAGGGAAAGTCCTCCATTGGAGAAGGTGGCCAGTGACACAGTGGTCATCTGTCATCACCGTAAATGAACACACGAACTTGTTTTAAATATGGATCCTCTACTACCTAGACCAGCGGTTCTCAGCCTGTGGGTCTCGACCCCTTTGGGGGTCGAACGACCCTTTCACAGGGGTCGCCTAAGACCATCGGAAAACACATATATAATTACATATTGTTTTTGTGATTCATCACTATGCTTCCAGTATGTTCAATCTGTAACAATGAAAATACGTCCTGCATATCAGATATTTACATGACGATTCATAACAGTAGCAACATGACAGTTATGAAGTAGCAACGAAAATAATTTTATGGTTGGGGGTCACCACGACATGAGGAGCTGTATGAAAGGGTCGCAGCATTAGGAAGGTTAAGAACCACTGACCTAGGCATTAGCCACAGACCAAGGCTCCTGCACAGAGAGCACAGTGCAGGTCGCAGGTCGAATGGACCTGCTTTCGCTCTGTTTACCTCGGAATAAAGAGGTGGGGGCCGAAGCCGGAAGTCCTGGATGCAGGCGAAGGCGGGGCAGGGGGCCTCTCCCTCCCAGCTGGGCGGCCGCGGGTAAGGAGCACCATGCCTGGAGACTTCTTCTTCTGACACCACGTCCGTGTAATCTGGGGGTGCTGAAGCAGAAAGGGGCGGGACTGAGACACCCCAGCAAAACCCCACTCCACAAACCCCTCCTAGCTCTAAGGAAGCAAGAAATATCTTTCAAGCTGATGATGAAGCAGTGGTACCCTTCCCTCTGATCAGCAGGTTTTTACGCACATTGCACCAAAAAGCATTTAGGAAAGTCTGCTTTGATGAAACGACTAGCATTGATGATACTCTATTCTTTTGAGATATGTATTATAGTCTAGGTTAAAAAAAGAAATCATTGAAATGTGGCTACAGCCTGGCCGGCGTGGCTCAGTGGTTGAGTGTCAACCTGTGAACCAGGAGGTCATGGTTCAATCCCCGTCAAGACACATGTCCGGGTTGTGGGCTTGATCCCCAGTGTGGGGCGTGCAGGAGGCAGCCGATCCATGATTCTCTCTCAGCACTGATGTTTCTCTCTCTCTCCCCCTCTCTCGTCCTCTCTGAAACCAATAAAAATATATTTAAAAACAAAACAAGAACTGTGGCTACAGAATATATATGACCCTGTACTTTTATGCTGACTCCCTTTCGTTGCTTTACTATTCTACGCCAGAATCAGGAAATGTAGACTTTATTCCCGGGCAGGCTGCACTCTCAAAACTGTGGCTTCTCGCAAAACTGT